AGACAACCTGGACCCCCCGGACAACCCGAACCCCCCAGACAACCCGAACCCCCAGACAACCCGAACCCCCCAGACAACCCGAACCCCCCAGACAACCTGGACCCCTTGAAAAACTCAGAGATCTCAGACACCACGGACAACCCAGACCCTCTGGACAACCTGGGACCTGTGGGCAACCCCCACTTGTCAACCCCACTGGACAGCCCTGACATCCCGGCCCCCCTGGACAACGTGAGCCCATTGGACCCCTTGGACACGTCAGATCCCCAGGACCCCCCCGGCAAAAGCCTTGAGTACACCAGTCTGGGTTGTTGGGAGGATAATCCTGACCGCGCCATTCCACTACTCGAGGGGAAGGATCCACGCCTATATGGTTCCTACTCAGTCCGTCAAAACCCCATTGAAAAGTGTTACCAGGTGGCACGTGATCGTGGTTTTACCATGTTTGCTGTACAGCATAGTGGGGAGTGTTTCGGGTCTGCAGATGCTCACAGCACCTACAAGAAGTACGGGCCATCCACAGGATGTGCAGCAGACGGCGAAGGCGGGCCTTGGGCAAGTGAGGTCTACCAGATTACAGGTCAGACTCCTGTAAATGCTGTTGATACCAAAGGAGTGAACTTTTTACCATACAAAAAATACAAACATAAAATACAACATGGCATATTTACCATATACCAATACACCATGTTTTATTACCAAGAAAAGACATATTCCGAAGTAAAATGTGCAAAAATTTGGTTTTCCTAATCCTAGACAAATATTTGAGAGCGCCAGACTTGGTGCATATGAAACACTAGTTATTCTATGGAACATTTCAAAGACTGTGTGATAACCCTATGTGATATGGCTAATTATCACATGAATCAAACATTATCAAGGCCCAGGTATGAGATAAATATGCATTTATGCTCAGTTCAAGTCATGTTCCTTCTATCTTTCAGTAGCTGCGAGCAAATTCTACCTCCATGCTCGGAGCAAAGGCTGCCAAGTAGGATACAAACTCCTTGCTGGGACCTGCTTCAAGCTCAATCACTGGCCAATGCCCTACGACAATGCCAAGATAGCCTGTGAGAGGGAAGGAGCGAGACTAGCCATGCCTAAGACCAAAGAACTAGATGACGTTGTGAGAAACCTGGTCCGCACAGAAGGACGACAAGACCTGTGCTACTGGATCGGCATGAGGGATATGAAGCGTGGGCTTTTTCGAAAAGGCCACTGGCAATGGGAAGATGGGTCTACTCTGGGCGACTACAAGGTATGTTGACATGTTTTATTTGCTGCTGATCACCTAAAAGAGCACTAGAAACTAGAATCCCATGTTTGCTTGTATCAAATGCAGAAACTACTTTTTTCTTGAAGTCAGTTTTTATAAGTGTTATTCAACATCCTACATAATTTCATATGCTTTATATCATTGTAGAAGTACTTTATATAAATTATGCTTATTCTTTTAATCAAACAGGGATGGAATCCAAGCGAGCCATTGGACTACTTATACACATGGGCAACTACTGTTAAGCTGTGTGTGCAGTACTGGTCAGGTCCCACTGGTTCTCCCAAGTGGGACGACACTAAGTGTGCCAGAAAGCGGGGGTCTGTCTGTCAGGCCCCTCAGTTATAACTGGGGAAAAGGTCAACAAAACATGCTGACATCAGTTGAGCAATGCCATTCCTTTATCAGTAAAGCCTGTTTAGATGTGAAAATAAAATCTCACCTGAACTATGACTACATCTATCCATACTTTGTCAGTTTAAGTGAAATTTGTATTTATTTACCTACTAGTATTATTTGTTATTATGTGAAGTGCCATTTCCATTTAAGTTTTGAACAAAATGGTCCTGATTATATATACTACAAAAAAGTTGATACATTCTGTACTTAGGTCTTATTTGAGGCCTTGATTTGTGGCTATACCTGTTTGCTTTTATTGTATCTATTGTAAATTAAATTGGATAGATTGACATTATTTTCAGGTTGGAAAACAAGCCATTTTTTTTAAAACTACAGTTGCATGTACACACATGTTATTTTAGGTGAATACAACCACATCTGTATCTGTATAGCCAGTAACCACCCTTTATATACATGCAGTTGTGATATTTAGCATCTTATGCTAGAACAACATTAATAATAAATTGTGTTGTGAGTCAAGGTGCGGTATCTTGTACATGTATCCTCAACAGTGATTAGTGTAGCTCTTTTTGGAAGAAGACACACTAAATGAATGTAAAGCCATCATTTATGATGATGTTGTGCAATGCCTTTATTAGCAATGTTGTTCAATACTTGAACTGGTACTATTTTGTGATACAGTGTATTAGTACAGTATGTATCTTCCAGGACACTTCTTACAAGTGAATACACAAAAATGTATAGGCACAGCCCCCTCCAATTGCTCACTAGCTGGGAAGCTTTTAATATCATTGATTTATTGCCTGGCCCTGTGAGAGACCGCAATGCCTGTCACTGCACTGAAAATGTGAACTGATGTTCTTGATGTACATGTATCACTTTGAAGTATGCTAAACAAGCATGTTAACAATGTAAGAATAATACACACACGGTAGCATTTTTAAATAAAATGTGAAAACACCAATACACTGTTGGTTCTATTCTATTTTGATATGGTTCCCACAATTTCCCTGTCAATTAAGTAAGCAAATATGAACCTGGAACTGTCTCTGCTGGACAAGCATACAGACAAACCCACCCAAAACAATATTTCCTTAGTTGGAGGTAACTACTGATCATGATGACTACAGATGCAGTCATTCTGAAAAAAGATGTTTGCTGTTAGCTAGCGCATCAGCAGAACGTACTGCACCTGCGCGAAACCCGTAATGTGCTGTACATAGCACTTCAGCAGAACGTCTCATATAAGATTTTACTGCATATAAGGTTAACATCCTGTCTGTAGTTTCCAAATGTTCTGTCGGAAAAGATATCTTCTGCAACAGGCAAAATTCTGATGCAACGTTGACCAAAAATCCAACGAAAACCATGAAAAACGGGGTTTTTGCACAGGCACAGTACGTTCTGATGACATGCTGTGTTAGCCATACATAACAAAATCATCATCAATAACTTACCCACATGAAAAGCCCATCACACTGGACCGTCTCTCACCTGCCAACGGCTGCGGAGAAGTCCTCTCCTGCTGCTATGGCGACCACCAGTTTCCCCGACAACACGTGTACGACCTTGGGAATGACGACCTCTGACCTGCCCCCGTGTCCCAGCTGTCCACAGTTGTTCATGCCCCAGGAGAATACCTCACCTGAACAGCACAGACAGGAACAGCACAAATGGTTCAGAGGGTAACAAGGTAGTTTATGGGTGATTTTGTGGTTTGTGTTGTAGGATGTAAAGCTGGAGGGTCCCGTATTTAAGGAGACCCACACCCATGACAGCTCGAGAACCTTATACTTTTATAATTAATTATTAAAACAAAAATTATACAAGCAACAGTTAGATCAGCTTCTATTACATACTTTATACAAATTTTTGTATCTTGATGTTTTTGTAGATGATTACACATATAACATACATCATATCAGACCTTACAATTCTATAAGCTGCATGAAGTGAGGAAATCAGTGTTGCGTGTTTACCTGTGGTGCTTAACAGCAGGTTGTGTACAGCCCCGGCTGCCACCTGCCTGATCCTCCCCTCCACCCTACACTGTACCCACACAGGCTTGAACAGCTCCCCTGACAGGCCCATGGCATGTTTGGCAGGGCTCTGTGTGTAGGAGGTGCTGGCCCGCGCCTGCCGACGACTGTTCTGTAGGTACTGCTTCCAGACTTGGGGGTGTCGACCAAACGTGTACACCTGCTGACTGGATGTCACCACCACCTGAATGTGATGGAAATCTTTCACTTGTCGTGGCTTTAGACAAATAATTGTACCTGCTACATGTATCTTTGTGTATTTGTTTGAGCCTCATTTAGTCATTTTATTTATATATTATTAATGAAATACTCAGTCAATCTAAGTCTGCTGGCAGCTTTTTTAATGATTGAGGTTGCCATGATCAGACAGAAGTCAGACAGAATAGAACAAGATACAGGTTACATGATTGAAGTCCTAACAAATCCCTAATAGTTGTAACAGGGCCCAAAATACTTACTATGTGGAATGTACATGTTGCTTGTTTGGCCACTTCTGTTTAATAATTACTAAAAAAATTGAATTTTTGAAGGTGTTGATAACATGTGACAATACTTACCGTGTGGAAGAGTCCACAGGCAACTATGGTGACTTTACCCATAATCCCCTGCACCCTCTGGGGGAGGCTGACTTTGTCTGTAGCGCCGTGTCCCAACTGGCCATGGAGACCACATCCAAACGTAAAGACCTCCCCACTCCTGTACAAATAAAATACAAGTCAGAACACCAGTTTGGATGCTTTCGCACAGACACAAGAACATACATAATAAATACCAAATGATGTACAATCTTGCAGACAAATTGGACAGAATTGTTAAGATGTTACTGATTGCTTGGTATAAAATAACAGGCTTCTTGTTCAACCTACTAGTTTTTTTTATCTTTGCTTCAACAAATACAGACCTAGCCTGTGTTACACAATCTCTTTCTGTCAGGGACTGATTAATAATGAGTACTTCTCCCTGAGAGCTTATGGCTACAACTCTAACACTTTCCAATAGGAGCACAGGGTTCTTTATCACTATGCAAATCATCCAACAGGACCTCAGTATTCTCTGTCACTATAGAAGGGCTGCTAGAAGTGTGATGTAGTCAGGCTCATACAGACCTGTTGAGTACTGCGGTGTGAGCGTACCCAGTGGTGACCTGGACAGTGTTCTGTAGTCCGGCCACCAGGTGGGGTTTGTTCAGGTTCTCTGCATTCCCCTGACCCAGCTGGCCATGTACACCCCACCCCCACGTCCACACCCTGCCACAACAACAGCAAGTATGAGCTAGTTCACAGTTCCAACTATGGTGACAGGAGTCTAAATCCCTCCTGCTATAAAATTACAACATGATGTAACCCAACACTAGTTACCATGGTGACAGAAGTCTGGTTCAGGTCATTGGCCTTATTTGTTTGGAGAAGAAGAAGAAACAAAGCAAAAACAATATGTATACATAGCTATGTATGCATGGTATGGATCATATCCACAGATGGTTGATATGTCAAGGTTGAAGGCCTCTGATACATAAACATGAATAAACAGAATCAGATGCATTTTGTTTATGTCTCATGTGCCTTCTACTTTGACATACATGTACATGTATTACTCACAATGCATCATGTGCAGTTGGACATGAACCTGCTCATTGCAGCATTTGTCAAGATATAATATAAGCCATATATGCACTTTTTGATTATTCATTTCATGTAATAGTTTGCTTCATATTTCTGAACCATACTGAAAAATTTGATTCATGATTACTACAGGCAAATATTTACCAGGCAGCAAAACAAGAAGTATCATCAGTTATGAACATAAATCCAGACGCACAACCTTCCCTCCCCATCCAGGGCTGCAGAATGGTACTGTCCTGTTGTCACGGCGACACAGAATACATCCTTCAGCTGGGTGACCAGGGTTGGGTGGGTCTGTCTGTCCCAGTCTCCCAGACCCAGCTGCCCATAGGTGGATGAACCCCACGCATAGACCTGCTATAATTATAATGGAGTGAGCCTCATAAGCAGAAGAAAGGTAGAAGAAAAGATCTGATGAAAGTGCAAAAAATGAATAATAACATTAAATCAGAGATTTCGGACTTCCGGGGAGTATTTGGGGCTTTTGAAACCTTACAGTTCAAAGATCTTGTTTATATGGTGTACTTTAATCAGACATTACACGAGCTCCAAAACAGGCTCAAAATCCCCTTCCAAAAAAGTGTGGTGTTACCCTTTAGCCCCAATCCTACAGTGGACAACAGCCGTTCAAAATACATGAAGATGACAGCACAACTGTCAAATTATTCTATTTCAATACCTTAAGGTACAGATCTAATAAAAAAATGGAATCATCTGGACCCCAATAACTAACCATATAGCGAAAACCCTCTGTGAGTTATAGCTGCAAACACACATACGAAGATCAACGCTATACCTTCTGGAGGTAACAACTCTAACCTACCCCATTCTGACCCAGTGCGAGTGTATGGTCCTGTCCACATGACACAGACATGACCTGTACCCGCTGTATGGACAGGGTCTCCACCCGCATGGGCGGCACGTACCCACTGTCCCCCAGCAGCTGCCCATGGCCCAGTCTGCCCTGGTGGGCCTTCCCCCACGTGTACACTCCCTCCTCTGGGGTAGAAACACAGAATATAAGCAATCATTCCTTGACAAAGACTGGAGATGTACAACAATTTTGGGTGAGCCCAATTTCTTGTGTTAGAAATTACAGTTAACTAGCTTCGTGACGTAAAAGTTTGTTGCAAATTCTTTCCTAAGAAAACTGACCTGTTAAAAGTGCAGCGTGCTGTTGTCCACAGGAGACCACAGCTGCCTGTGAAAATGGAGGTTTCCGTTTTACAGGCACCTCATCAGCTGTCTCTGGGCCACCCTTTTCACAATGGTGGTCTCTCCTAGTACATACAACAAAATGTACACATTGTATACATTTATGTCAATGATGAATAAAAGTGATCTTGTTCTCACAAACTCAATGTCTGCATGGAAATTGTGATCTGGTTTAAGCTAGGAATGTGTTAGGAATGCCCTGGACTTACCCAATTTACAAATCCTATATTTTAAGTCAAACCATTGATCATGATTCAAAGCTGAATTGAAGCTGAAAAAGTTCTGACTCTACCCTGATACATGATACTTGAGGCAATTTCTAAAAGATTGTGAATGTATAAAATGCAAAATGTATACTATTAGGTGATATGCAGCTTCACCTGTAGTTGAGCACAATAAGTACATAGAGGAAGAACTGGACCAGCTCTCGAGCATTGGCTGCCCGGCTGCCTCTGTCTGGATGGGACTGGTCACTGTCCAGACTACTGATCGATATGACACTGGACGAAGAGGTGGTTCTGAGGCAAACAAACAAAGAGAAGAAATCATGTTACCTTTGGAACACGAGTACCATACTAGCCACATTTTATCTTGTGCATAAATTACAGAAAGCCCAACATGACCATTGTAAGATATAAAACGCTACTTAAGCCAGGTGACCAAACCTATTTTAGCAGCCAAGTCCCTTTAGTCTTCTCCTATTTGAGGAGAGGACGAAAGAGACTCAGCAGCTAAAATAGGTTTGGTGCCAAGACAAGTGCTATGGTGGGCCATGAGGAAGCTGGGTGTAGAAGAGTGGGTCATCAGGGTTGTACAAGCCATGTACAGACATGCTGCATCATGTGTACGTGTGAATGGCAGCTACAGCTCTGAGTTCGAGGTCAAGGTCGGAGTTCACCAAGGGTCTGTGCTCAGCCCACTGCTGTTCATCATTGTCATGGAGGCACTGTCCAGGGAGTTTAGGACTGGTTGCCCCTGGGAGATGCTGTATGCTGATGACTTGATGTTAGCTGCAGAGTCCCTTGAGGAGCTGGGGCGAAGGTTCAGCTGCTGGAAGAACAGCATGGGGTCACGCGGCCTGAGAGTGAACACAGGGAAGACCATGGTCCTCCACAGCACACATGCCCACTCCATGCCTGTAAAGGAGTCCGGGAAGTTCCCTTGTGGTGTTTGTAGGAGGGGCGTCGGCACGAACTCCATCTTCTGTGGAAAGTGTCGACACTGGATCCATAAACGGTGCACAAACATCAAGGGCAGTCTCAAGGAAGACACCAACTTCAGATGCAGGAGGTGTACTAGTGGACCCACCACAGCCCCTGAAACACCCACAGAACAAGTGACAGTTGGCACTGAAAACCTCAAAGTAGTTCCCACCTTCTGCTACCTGGGAGACATGATAAGCCAGTCTGGAGGCTGCTCTGATGCAGTGACTGCCAGGATTAAGTCGGCCTGGAAAAGCTTCCACGAGCTTCTCCCAATCCTCACTAACAGCTACATACCTCTTAAAAACCGTGGGCATGTCTTCAACTCCTGTGTCAGAAGCGTCTTACTCTACGCTTCGGAGACATGGCCCGTGACAGCAGAGGACATGAAGAGACTGGCACGGAGCGACAGGGCCATGGTAAGATGGATTTGCTCCAGGAGACTGGCAGACTGCCAGTCAACTGAACAGCTTCGTAGGCGGCTTGGAGTCCATAACATTCAGGACACAGTTAGGTACAACAGACTCAGATGGTACGGCCACCTCCAGAGAATGGACAGGGACAGATGGCCAAAGAGGATCCTCACACTGGATGTGGAGGGTCCAAACCCCCGTGGCCGCCCCAGAAGAAAATGGTATGACAACGTACGGGAGGACTTCCACCACCTGAACCTAGATAAAATTGACCCACAGGACAGAGGCAAGTGGCGTGCTGCCATCAAGCCCCAGATGTATTGTGCAAGCACGTCTAACCCTCGGAAGACGGGGAACAACAGACGATAAACCGGACAGTGAGTGAGTGTGTGAGTCACCTGGCTAGAGTCACTTCTGAATTTGGCAATTGCCTGAAACAGTCATCAAAACCACACATTTGAGTCTTTATTTATTATATGATTGGTACACTGACCTGTGCCTGGCCCTTGCCATGTGAAGAGCCCTGGACACTACAGATTTGGAGGGGTCGAACAGCCTGGCTAGACTCAGCAGTGTGCTGTCCTCAAGCTGGGGGAGACAGGAGGACAGCATGCCTAGGGCAGGGGGTTCAAAGCATGTTGTAGTTTTTGCAGGGTATGAAGTTGAAACTGTTGAAACAATTCTGGAGTACAATGGTAAAGTTTCCATGCATTTTCAGACAATGCCTTACCTGTGTGAGCCAGTGCCATGTCAGGTGTAGTCAGCAGTACCCTCACCATCTCCCCTGAAGGCAGGGCCTTGAGGAAGGCACCTGCGGCAGCTGTACAGATGGCCGGGCCATAATCTTTACTCAGCAGGTCTGACAGGATGGTCCCAGGCAGGTGCAGGATGCCCTGGTGGGCCAGCAGCTCCAGTGCTGTAGGCACCAGGGCACGGGCCTAGGCAAAGTAATACAGAAGCTCCTCCTGGTGATCTTATCACAAATTACAGGGCATTATTCTAATGAACATGATATATTCTAATAATATGTACCTTACTATGTAGTGTTAATAAGAGGCATGTTTTGGCCAAAATTGTTCGTACTTTTTAGAAGAAAATTTCCAATTGCATGCAAGTTGGGTGAGTTACAGCTACTTGTCACCTCACCTTAGCTACCTCAAACAGCAGCTGGTGCAGGCCCTGCGAGGCTAACAGCTGCAGTGCTGCCTGCTCGTCATAGTGGAAGTTATCCATGAGGAACTCCCGGAAACTCTCCACGATGGCTGGTCTGTCCGGGTGCTGCAGGAGCTGCTGAGTGTAACAGTGCAGGGCACAGTCACACAGCTGCTTCTCCTCTTTAGCTGGCAGCTCTCCTGGCTTACTCAGCACCTGGGGACAATAGACCAGGATGTAGGATCGGCCTATAGGAGAGCTCAGATGGATAGCAGACCAGCCCCTCCAACTCTGTCCTGCCACTTTCTACATAATGTAACTCAACACCACAGGGTGTCTGCTATAGAATACCAGTTACAATGGTGACAGTAGTCTGGTCCAGGTCATGGAAGAAGAAGACAAAGAAGAAGAAACAGAGCTAAAACATATGGTTACCTTCAATGAAGGTAAACAGAATAACTAGGGTAGTGCCTGACTATTCAAAGATGCCCAATCATGTGTGATGAGGACAAACCTGCTTCAGATGTGTCATGACCTCAGTCATGTGACCATACTGTGCCAGCTTCTTGATGCGCTTGCTGTGCGGGGCCTTGGACAGCTGGTACAGCTTCACAGCCTGTACAACCTCTCCCTTCGACAGCATGCAGTCAGCTGACACCTGAACAGCAAACAGAATTATTAGGATATAGGGATAGGCTCTTCAAATACTGTGCCCTAGACACTGTGGAGTAACAACCCACTGCCCATATGGCCTCAAAAAGGCTATTTACCTAGAAGTTTCCTTTAAGTAATTCAGCCAATCTCAACAATCTTTTAATAGGCCCTTTCATTGCATACAACGTAAGGTCCATTGTAGGCCATTGTATTTCTTGGGTTTCCTCTACAATTTCAGCAAGCCTAAATCCATCGTCTATTGCCCACCTCATCGTCAAATTGCCTACCTCATATAACATGTTCATATCCAGCCCTAGAGTGATGCCCAGTTTCTCAGCTGATGCTGTGTCTCCTGCTGTTACAGCAAGGTCAAGGAACAGCTGCTCTGGGACTGTCCTGTGTGAAAAACAAATCAAAACCAAATTGGAATCAAAGTGGGATCAAAATTAAATAACCGTAACCTTGCAGGGTTCAAAATACTTTTTCTGCATGCCTGTACTGGTGCAGGTAACATTACACCTGCACCAGACAAATTTTACCTAAATCACTCAGAATTTACAAAGTACAGATCATACTAAAAACTGCTCAGAAACCATTGTCATTTCTTTTATGCTTCATAAGTTGTAACAGTCAATGCATACACCTACATGTAGTTCTGCATCATAAGTACAAAAAAAAAGAAATCAAAAGTACCTGGGTCTACACTCATACACTCCTGCTGAAGTCACAACAACACATCCCTCCAAAAGAGTTCCCTGTGAAAAGTCTATCTGGGTCATGTCTACCTCTGATTGGTCAACATTCACGGCACTAGAGGGAGAAGCCTTGGCTGATTGGCTGGCTAGAGCACCCTTTTCTTCTGATTGGTTGCTGCCATGAATCCTGTCCTGTGATTGGCTGTGAAGACTATCCAGTTTGTTCAGGAGATCAGGGGGGAAAGTTTTCCTGTACAGTGCAAGGACCTGCTCATGTGGAGGGAGGGGGAAGGACTGCAGGATGGAGTGCAAGTTGGTTTCCTCTGTCTGTGCCTCCTCTGCTGATGTCTCGGACATCTGGTTGGATACTATATTCAACTTTACCTGAAGAAACAATATCAATATACTCTAATACATGTACAATACATGTTGATAAAGGTTAGACATCTAAGTAATGAGACACAAAAGAAAACTGTTACTCAAGCAACTTGATAGTCTAGGATTTTATTGATAAAAGATTGACACAAATGCAGTGGCCATACAGTGTGGAAGGTATAACAACACCTCTCGACTACACAGAATGTGATAATTACATGAAATGATTTTTAAAAGCTTGTACCCAGTCCTTTTAGCATTAGAGAGATCTAAAGGGAGTTTTTTTAATCCCCACTGTTATAAACTTACTACAAATCCATGTAAGGACTGTAGCTGTAACAAGGTAGGATAGTTTCATGTGTACCTGTGTGTCCCTGGCTGCTGTGGTGACAAACATGAGTCTGTCTGTGAGCAGGATGTGTGAGGAGTCGTGAGGTAGTCTGTACACATACAGGGCTGACCTCTGTAAACCACTGTCATATACCTGTGGAACAGAATACCAGTAACAACTATACTCTCTTTAGAATAACCGTACAAGTGCATGCAATAAATGTATTCCGAAAGTGTGTTGTTTTTTACCTGTGTACAAAAGTTTTGTTTTCCACATGCTAGGCAGGTTGGGGACACTGGCAGGAAGTTAGTCCAAAGGTCCCAGACAAGGTTGTCTTATTTCCAGTGTCTTCAGTAGACTACAGCCCTTACATTGTGTTGTACCTTACACACAGCCCTTACCTTACACACAGCCCTTACCTTACATACAGCCCTTACCTTACACACAGCCCTTACTTACACACAGCCCTTACCTTACACACAGCCCTTACCTTACACACAGGTCTTACCTTACACATAGCCCTTACCTTACACACAGCCCTTACTTACACACAGCCCTTACCTTACACACAGCCCTTACCTTACACACAGCCCTGCTCCTGTCCTGTGCCATGAGCAGGCTACAGCCCTTGGCCTGCTGGGCAGACAGTCTGACATCATCAGTGAACTGGCTCAGCACCTTTGGAGCAAACTCAGGACGTGGTTCATCTGTGTGCAGAAAGCTGGGGAGGAGGGAGTGTGTGATGTAAGTCCCACTTCTTAAGCTTGAAGAGTGGTAAAATATATATTAACAGGATTGAAAGGAAAGGCATCAGAATATGTCACTACATAAATCCAAAAAGCTTAAGATTTCTACCGAGATACTAGTATAGGGTGGTTCAAACCGGGTACAGTACCTGTCTATAGCGTCCACCATCTCGAAGCCCAGCCCCGAGGCGGTCCCCGGGGACTCAGGCAAGATGGAGGAGCGCTGCTCCAGCAGGAGTCTCCACTGGATACCTGACTGAGTCTGGACCTGGCAGGGAGATATCACAATATATACAGGATTGTACAGACTGTTTCACAGAACATTGGATGCCATGGTCGACATGACATTATCCATTATTGTGACATTGTACAAAGAATGGAATCATGGATGGTTGTACATGGTTCTCTACAAGTTAGTGTACTGCGGAGTGGTTGTCATGGTTACCTAGAAGGTGTACTGTAGAGTGATTGTCAAGGTTACGTATGAGCAGGTGTACAGTAGAGTGGTTGTCATGGTTACCTACCAGCAAGTGTAATGTAGAGTGGTTGTCATGGTTACCTACCAGCAGGTGTACAGTAGAGTGGTTGTCATGGTTACCTACCAGCAGTTGTACTGTAGAGTGGTTGTCATGGTTACCTACGAGCAAGTGTAATGTAGAGTGGTTGTCATGGTTACCTACCAGCAGGTGTACTGTAGAGTGGTTGTCATGGTTACCTACCAGCAGGTGTACTGTAGAGTGGTTGTCGTCCCTGACGAGGTCCATTGTTACCACATGTTCCCTGACCTGTGCAGAGCCCACCTCTCTCCCCAGTATCAGGTCTACAAACACCAGTTCTCCTATCTGGAGGTGGGAAACAATATCCAATGACAAAACAAAACAAAACAGTAAGTAGGCATGACATTGAAAGACTACAAAACGACTGCTCTGTTATGATACTATACATGTAGTTAATAGACTCTAAATGGCATCTTACACTGTTATCAAATGACTACAAAACGACTGCTCTGTTATGATACTATACATGTAGTTAATAGACTCTAAATGGCATCTTACACTGTTATCAAATGACTACAAAACGACTGCTCTGTTATGATACTATACATGTAGTTAATAGACTCTAAATGGCATCTTACACTGTTATCAAATGACTACAAAACGACTGCTCTGTTATGATACTATACATGTAGTTAATAGACTCTAAATGGCATCTTACACTGTTATCAAATGACTACAAAACAACTGCTCTGTTATGATACTATACATGTAGTTAATAGACTCTAAATGGCAGCTTACACTGTTATCAAATGACATTCAGGAGTTTTCTCATACCAGCATCACTTAATCACAGCAGCCTTAATTGAACAACTCTGTGCCTCACCTCAGTGCCAATAATGGCAACCTGTTTATCATCAAAGGTGTACCACCACACAATGCAGGTAGGGGGAGCTGCAAGAATGGTAAGAAAAAATATCAGTCTCCTAAGACTGCAGCTAATAATTGTCACAATAGCACATTCTGACATTGCATCTGACATTGGTAAGTTATTCAGTCTCAGTTCTCAGAAAACACTGCTTGTATTCAAGATAGCAAAGCCTGATAAGGAAAGGACAAGACAATGTGAAGTAGGATGGATTTTACCATGTCTGACAGTTGGTTTGACCTCTGTGACGTCATCCTTGTTCCACAGAACTTTGACAGCAGCAGACGGATCCTGTACAGGAAGGGAAATATGTGAAAAATAATCACATTTTATCATGTCTTTGTGAAGCAGGCATCCCCATTCTATCTATCCAAACAAGAAATCAGAGACTTCAGACTTCCAGACAGTATTTGGCATTTTCGTGACCTTCAAGTTCACCCCATTTCCCTGTGTCTGACCTCCTGTCATCTTCCCCACCCATGTGCTGTCAACCTACAGTACTCTGTCCAGGCAGACACCCAAACCCACAGCTCCCACAGCTCAGGTAGCCTGGTTACGAAACCTATTTCAGCTGTTTCTTTTGTTCTATTAGAGCTGAATTAGGTTTGGTAACCAGGCTACAGGTAAGCTATGTAAAGAGTACCTTGGTACCTGGAATTAACAAACCACCTCGGTATTTGCTACAAGTAGTCAGAAAGCCTCTAAACAAAACCAACACAGTTATGAGAAAGTTCCTAACCAGCAGGAGTAAAGCTGGGAAACACCCTCTCACACCGGCACACCAGCCATGTCCTGTCAACCAACTGTCTGGCAAACCAAGGATACACACAAACCCACCAGGAGAAGTAAAGCTGGGATGATGTACAGGTACCCTCTGACACTGGCACACACCAGCCATGTCCCCCGTGGGTCCAGTGCCATGGCCCGGATGGCCTTGCCTGGGTGCTGAAACCATGGCAGCTGCCGGGTGTTCACTTTCCTCCCCTCAACAATGTGCTGAAGTAACAGGAACCCTTCAGGAAGAGAATCAAAACACAACTATTAAATCTTACCATGGAGGTTAGACCACTCCTTGATCTTACTGTTCATCTGCAAATAGATAAACTTTCCACAGCATCAGTTTCTAATCTATATTGACCTACTTTCTGACAGATCATTATTCAACCCTGAAGTAGATACATGTAGTTGACAATAGGTGAGCCATGAGCGATGAGATTATAAGAGTCTCCAATGAAAATGCTTCCATCTTCATCATTATACTAATAGGTTATATTTTTAAAATGATGTGATGTTGATTATACAATTGCCAAGATTATACATTGCAGATGTTACACTATGTTTGATGATATATTACCATGCACTCTATCATAATAATAGCACACCCTTAGTCTGGATTAAAACACCTTATACAAATGTACATGTAATCTTATTATGAATCAATCATTTATACCATTGCATCCAATAACTGTCAATCAATTAATCATTAACATCATGCATTGAAGTGCATCACTTCACAAAGAACTGTACACAATTATTTTGAATGACAATGTAAAAGAAGCAGTCTGCAAAGTATAGTCTCAAAGCTGCTTATAAAAATCAAAGCTGTTAACGTTACTAAGATGTTTATGAAATCGACTGATATCTGCGTTATATAATGTTACCATTATCACACAGCAGCACAAGTAGGGCCCTCTTCCCCTCCTGCCACCAGTCACTCAGCCGGACGGAAGAGCCGCTGGACCCGGGAACGCCCCTCTTGGGCGCCGCTGGGCGAGTCCTGAGCTGGCTGACCACTTCAAAAAGTGGGGTCTTCATGTCTGCGTCGAAAAAGTTCCTCGAAAAGTGTTTGTTCGACTCATTGCTGGTCGCAAACGGTGCAAGAAGAGGTGAGAAATCGGTGAAAAAGTTGATGTGAAACCATCACAACTATTACTGAACTTTGACCTTGACCCCAGGATGCAACGCGAATAGGAGTATTTTGCATGGCGGGAAACGAACCAATCACATCTCAGTGTGCGGACACTTCCAGCCAGTCCACGGGCAGATTCCTCATGAGATTTGCATAAAATGCGGTCTTCTGGGCCAATTGCCGCGCAGTGTGCTGCAACAATCGGTACAGAAGTAACTCAACGTGCAGCACATGGCGGACGGGGGATTTCTGTAAAAACAAAGCCGCACATCTCGACGATTTTTGCTTGAAATTCGGGTGTTTTTGTAAAATTTCGGACTCCAGGCTACCCTGCCCAGCAACCATGGGTGTCCAAGGCCTGCAGGATTATATCGAAGCCCACTGCCAACGCGCCTGTGTCAGCGTAGAGCTGCAGCGAATCGCTCGGGGGAGGGTCGGCAAGCGCCCGCCCAACGCGCCTCTCTGTCTCGTGGTGGATGCCGAGAACTGCCTGCACCGGCTCTATGGAGGGAGCTTCCGCGACTGGGTGTGCGGGGGGCAGTGGAACGAGATGCTGGCCTTCATAGGAGCCCTGACCAGAGCCTGTCATGCCGCCAACATCGAGCTGGTGGTCTGCTTCAATGGCGCCGTGGAAAAACCACGCCTGCCCGAGTGGATCAAGCGCCAAAACAATAACAGGTCATTTATCAACCCATTCTCATTCTGACAAGACTGCTGTGTGTATTTATTTGTTCTCCTGAAACGTAACACGTGTAGGATTGGTGTAAAAACACTTCTGTAGTAAGATTTGAGGTTGTCAATGGACGGCGATGTTGCATGTTGAAGCGACACACCGCCGCTTCTGTTGTGGCAAAATCGTGACAAGTCGCAAGTGTCGGTGCAGACGCGGTATTACTCATGCAGACCGCACAGTGACACACCTATAATCTCCCCTCATGATTAGATTCCGTGTCTAAACAGACGACAACGTCACGTAGTCCGTAATAGGACGCCCGGGAGACGCGGGCCGATTTACATGATAGATTCCCAGAATGCATGGGTGGAACTTGGATGTGATTGAACGTAGCAGATAAACATCTGACAGGGCGGGTACAAAACTACAGAGAAGGAATTTCTTAGAAACCAAGAAAAAAATGTCATCAAATTGTTCGTGCGATGTCTATCATTGAAAGCTAGTAGTGATGGTCTTCTATACCCTTGATCAGTCTACATACATGTGAAAATGATGTGAATCCAGTTCATACTTTTGTCCACATCACCTCGCCAGACTTCCTGTTGATCATGATCAGGTTTGACTGATGGTTTACATAATGATACCCCGTGGAAATGAATGACACCATGTGTGATTCATATTGATGAAAGGTAAAACTCTGCCAGATAGACATTGAAAAACAGAGCTGCTGTGACAAGAGAAATGAATTATATACAAAATCAGATATTTTGAACAAGATCATTGCAAACTTGCCATATTATATAGTAGGTGGTGGCATATTGACTCAACCAGAATGGCGCAACCTGTTGATTATTGATTCATCTACAATAGTAGTAATTGGGCAAGTAATTAACTAAATGTTAATGACATGGAAGAAATTGTTTACACGGTACAAACTATCTCTTTGATAGTGATTGAATCTTGTGCAGTCAAGGCAAATATTTCTCTGCATCCAGGTCTAGGACATAAACATAAACACATGGTATTTATTTAATGATGAAAAAAACAGATGCATTGCTCCAAATTTGGTAACATATGACATTGTGGTACAGATTTCAAACTTCAAAATACTGCATGAGTAAAGGAAAAACGTTTTTAAAGTCATCATCTCTTTTGAAAAGGGCAAACCAATTTATCCCCATGGTTGGCACCCTGGTTTAGACAAGGCTCTCCTTAGGTAAAAAGTAATCTCAAAGAAGATCTTTTGGTGGCTGCAAGACAGTATCAAGTTTGCAAGACAGTATCAAATTGGCAAGACAGTATCAATTTGCCACCCAAAAGCACGCATGAAGAAAGATACCAGCTTAAATTGAAAGCCCAATATAAACTCCTTAATATGTCAAGGCCAAAATCTCTGCTTGGAGAGTAGGTCAAAAGGCAAATTGAGATAAATGAAAACTGCTCTTACCTTTACTATATCATAATCATAGTAAACTAGGATGTGTCAACAAAGTCTTGTTTTGGCTAGCAAACACATCAAAACTTAGACAACGGGGACAGTCTTTGTTACTTTTTCAATAAACATTAAGTGGGGGGGGTTCTCGTGTGATGCAGGGTTTTGTAAGATGACAATATGCTCACATCGCACGCTAAGTCCTGTTTTTCAAGTGTGAGATTTAGAGTTTTCAAATGCAGACATACACACCTTAATGGTGGGCACACCTACGTCTAAATCTGTAATCCCTTTCCACTGACAGCCATTATTTACCACCACCCTTGGCCATGCATGAGGTTTTGATAAGACCTGAAGCTGTCTGACAGCTTGCAGTTAGTACACATAAAAACTACCATTTTACCTACAATTGACTCTAAGCAGGTTGACTAAATTTTTTTGAAAACACAACCTACATTCCAAGTGTGCCTCATTATCAAGATCCAAGCTAATTCACTGTTGCTTAATGTGTGGGGACCTAGTTACTGTGTCATTGACCTACGTACATGTACCACATTTGGTGTGTCTGGGCACTCAGAGTTTACTGTCCTACTTTTAATGGTGACCTGTGCTATGAGGATGAGCTGCCCATTCTAGGTGCCCATATAACATACAGATAGACAGTAATCGATGCACGTTTAGACCTCAGGTGGGGTCGTTGACATTCAAAAGCCCTTACTCCTAGTATATTGTTAGTCATGAAACTTTCGCAGTGGTTTAATTTTTTTGGCGACCTCTGGCACTGCGAATGTCTCCTTTGTGTATGACTAGTCTATTACAGAATTGTTTCAACTGCAAATCTAAAAATACTGCAAAAACAATACCCATCTTTTACTGCAAAGTAAAACCTCCACGGAAGTAAGTGAAATTACAGTGTATCATATGTCACCGTCATGTATTTCATAGCTCTCGTTTTCCTCCACTACCATATGATAAGACAAATGTAAATATTCTTGTCTAAAGAAAAATACACAACTTGTTAAAACTTACAAGATTTTTGCTAAATTGGTATTCAGGCAACACCTGTTGCATTAGATGGTAAAATGAAGTGAACACGTTTTCAGATTTCTTCTTGATAATTTTTGATGTCTAATTTCAATATCTTATGTAGTCAGTAAAAGGATGTCTGTATATGAATCTTCTTTGTATTTTTGCTCATATCTTGTGATCTATTTTTGTCCGTGCAGGCAAACTGCCTACCAGATCTTCTGCCATCTTCACAACAAGGCCACACCCCCGCCCAAGGTGTGGTTCACACCGCCCGTCAGCTTGGCGTCATGCATCCGGCTGGCGCTGCGACACTACGGCGTCCGCTGTTACCAGTCCCTCACAGACCATCACCACGAGGTGGGGCTTGTGGATCTGTTTATGTTTACCTTGGCAAGAGGAACAGATTGTTTTTGCTCTGTTTCTTTTTTTCCAAACAAATAAAGTCAATGACCTGGACCAGACAGCTGCCACCATAGTTACTGGTGGTTTTGCAGACACCCTGTGGTGTTGGATCACATTTATGTAGCAAGTGGCAAGTCAGATGGAGGGGCTGGTCACCATGTATATATATATGAATGTGTTCCAGTAAAAATATACAGATCAGCAGTAGTTTGTTCAATGTGTAAAAATTACACATTTGCTAAATGCAAGTGTTACCTATGTTTTACTAGTAAAAATGTATAATGCACTTATTTACAATTCTACCTGGAATTTCTAATTCGAACATAAACAAACATAAATACAGTGCAATTAAAATTTAGCACAGGACTACCTCAATTGATCTTTGATAAAGTTACAACTAACTGAGGCTACACAATTACCAAGAAAAAAAGTATACAATTTTTCTCCCCAGTGTTCTCTGTTTATTAATGTTTCTAATATTAGGGAGAGAACCATCTGCTCAAATAAAGAAGGACTACTGTTTTTAGTATTATGCCAAAGGTCGAATCAAACAGATGGTAGAAGCACTTCTACTGCACGTCCCGGCATATCCATTTGATACCACAGTTTTGTAAACATGGAGGGATCATTTTTAGTTGGCAGGTCCTGTTACATGTATGTTGTGGAGTAGTGTGTAATGTAGAGTGCCTGAGGCACATGGATGATGTCTAGGGTTGTACAATAGACAATGCATATTGTTATGGTTGAATAGACGTGCTATTGCTATTGGACTATGAAAGATCAAATGAGATTAGTCACTTGTCTCAGGTAACAAGGATATAGTTTTGTTTAAGCTTACAATTTTAATTTATTCAATTCACATTTATTTTTTGAAGATTGGCTGAAAGTAATAGCTTACTCATCTAGACCCTCTTCTTACACACACAGATAAAAGAACAACAAAAGTAATGCAGTAACAACAATGAAGAGAATAGAAAGAAGCACATAAGAAATACAAATCTAAACCAGTCAAATGAAATGACCTGTACATGTCTGCCTGCAATTATTTGTGAATGGGATAATTAAGGAAGTTAATACTTAGAGGGATTAGTCCTCTGATTTTCTCCTGTATAATCGAAACCAAACCAAAGTAGGCTGTGTAAAAGAGAGTCAACATATTTTACCAAGTTTGTATTTGTACCCTAGGTGATGGCGTTTTGCCGGCAACACGAGTTCCACGGCGTGGTGGCCCGGGACTCGGACTACGCCGTCTTTGACCCACCACGGTACTTCTCGTCGGAGAAGCTGAAGCTGAGTCGTAACGGGCGCAGCCTGACGACGGTCCAGTACCTGATGGACGAGGTCGGCAAGGAGCTGGGACTCACGCCCGAGAAGCTGGTCGTGTTCGCGGCACTGCTCGGTGAGTCAGGTGGTCTGTCAGGGCTGCTCTGGGTTAACCTTCAGTCTGCCGAGGTAGCCACTTGCACCAAATTTGCATTGCTTATAGGGTGAAACAGAACTCAGGAGGTTAAACTGTTGCTGAAAATTTGTTTATGTTGAGTTCTGGATAACATGAGAGCTTGTATATTTCAATAACAGTCTGCCAGGGTACTGTACCTACTAGTAAGTGCCTAGGCCAGGAGCTGGTACATGTACCTTGCTGCCCTCCGTTAGGATTGCCTGTCTTAAGTCCTGTGTCTTTAATGACCTGTTCCTTCTACCAGTTGGTCTTCTCCTGGTTCTGGGGTTTGGAATCTCTTGGAGGTATGCCTTATAAACCAAAGGTTGTGGTGGTCCAAATGGCTAAGGATGAATTGTTCCACATCCAGTTAGGATGGATTGTTCCACATTCAGTTTAACTCTGATTTCGTCAGTTTGTATATAATCTCAAAGTGTGATGCATACAATTGTCATTTGGCATCTCATGTCTACAACAGCGTTCGTCAGTCATTTTAGACTCCTGTAGAGTCTCCTGTTTCTGTTTAATTTAGGTCAGTGTCGTGTTGTATAAACTGATACGTGGACTACATTACACAAAGACAACTGGTATCCTGTGCACTTGGCCTATATTTGACTGGGTGCCACGGACAAGATTCTATTGCCTTCATATGGGCACAAGCAGTATAACTGACGAAAAGCTTGTTATGTCAACAGACATCCCTGGTCGTTAGGTTACAAGAACTCAACTGCCTACCATCTTAAGTGTGTGGCCTTTTTTGGAAATTATTTTTCTTATTATTTATCTTAACCATGGTCTCCTCACTCCTTGTGCTTCAACGTTGACCAGGAAGGCAGAAAAACAGCCAAGAATAGACCCTACAGTATGTATGTATTCTGTAAGATACATGATTTGCATGATTCAAAAGGTCAGGTAACATATTTAGGTGATGTTTTATAGATTCGTCCTCATAAAGGCTAAATATATAGACGGACTCTGTGTCTGGAATGCCTGATCCGTGCTGGTTTTGTGTGAATATTGTTTGGGAGGCAGATTTTGTCTGGGCGGTGTGATATTTTCCTGTGTGGTTGGTTGAATGGACATGTTGTTGGTACTGTATGCAGCCCGTGGTGGTGTGCAGCCCACTGTAGTAATGTAATCGGATGAGTGAACCCAAGCAGAAAAGTAACAGATGGCAAGATTCACGGCCGCTTCCTGCACCCGTCCCTTCTGTCCTTTATCTCCACAGTATTCTACAGTTGTTGTTTTCCTACCTTGTCATGTGGCAGGCCTGTTTTTTGTAGATGTACTCTCACTACACCAAAGCTAGAACCTTCATTTTGAATGCATGTATGTGAACATGAACATGAAAACACTTCTTCTACCACTTGGTGCTTGGCGCTGCTTGCACTTACCTTCATGGACTGTTAACCATTTTAAGAGTGTTGTACAGGGAACTATATGAATAAACATGAGATATATTCTCTTCAAAATCTACTCTATCATTGCACAGTGAAGGTGTTTTCGCAAGGAGAAAACCGCATTGGCAACAGTTAAATCTAAAAATCATTTGCCATCAGTTCAATTTGACGTTGCTGTCATGACAGGGAATGGTGTGAAATATCTGAAAGGTTGGCTTGGCTCAGAAGTTGCCCATTATGTGTCAGCTATGTTCCAGGCTGGGGAGTCCTAATGGTGTATGTAGCAACAAGTTACTGTGATTCTGCCATTAAATGCAGCAGTGACTGTTTGGAATTTGTAGTTTAATGTCAGCGACATATCTAGTCTCTGTAGATGCAGTTACTAGACATAAAATAACAGCTCTGTCGGGTCCCAAATGAAATTATTCTGTTAAGAATCTGATTAATAAGATATATAGTTCAGACATAATTACTGGGATGTTTATGCCTTAACTTGAACGCTTTTTTTTTCTGCAGTCATTTTCTTCCTAGAAATGCAATACCTTAGAGTGTAATGATAATTACAGAATTTTGATTAGATTATGTTTCGCATTCATTAGCTACCAGTTAACTCTCCCCTCATTACCGGCACTAACACAGATAGTTTGATTTAATCAGGATTATTTGCATCATAGAAAGGTAGTTTTGAAACATTTCTTTGTCAGAAATTTATGAATAATTTTATTAGGTTGAATGATGTTAGAAATTGTCGGGAATTATACCTTGTAACAATGTGACCTGTGTGTTGTTATAATCATTAAAACGAACATAACAATGAGAACAGGTTGTTTTGCACGTTCTGTGCCATGCTAGCATTTCCAGTAATTAGTTTATCCCAATTGGCAGTGAGCTTGCTTGCTTTTGTTCCTGATTAGGATTGGTAATACACAGCATTAGCATACAGATGCAGGCTGTTCCGTGTCCGGAATCAGTGATGATGTAGAGATTGGATACACAGTCAGGCTCTGATTGAACAAACAGGACTGTTTTCTGGAGAAATTGTGTCTAAATCTGAGTCCAAGCTGAACATGCCATGTCCAGTTTGTAACCCATTACTGGAGCCAGGCCAAACCTGTTCTCATATATTTTACTCTTTTACAAAAGAAAACCATGCAAGTGTATACAAGTATACAACAATGTTTGGTGGATGTATCTGTTTTGAGACAAGTAGTCCAAATTTTCAATATGTGATCAGCCTTCTCAAAACAAGCCGGCTACCGGCGAAAATCGCCGCCTACTCAAATTTTTGCGCCGGCTACTTTCGTGTAAATTTTCAGAAAAACAATGTAGTCTCCATTACATTTTCTCACAAACTCCACCGGCTCATTTCTTCTGACGAACTTCAGACAATTTTCTGCTAGCTTTCTGGATCTGAAAACTGCTTCTTTCTTAGCCTCCTGTGCAGATTTCTAGTGCACGAGTCATCGTTTGCTTCTCAGCGGCCCGCGGCCAGAGCGGCCGAAACTTTACGGGGGAGGGTCTTGTTCGGGGCTCGAGTTGAATCGGCGGAGCTGTATCGCTCGAGCTAGGCGGAACTTGCTTCGTAAACTAGTTGCTCACGAAAATTTATCAAGCCGCTACCTTCCCAACTTCTCCCGGCACTAGTAGTATTCCTGCTACAAATAACTAGTACGAATCACGTCAAAAAAATATCAAGACATGTACAGAAGCGTGTTCGTATCTTTCATACACAGTTAGAAACACGAGACAAATTTTCGAAAACAAATCGCCATCAGCGAGATTTCACAGCTGTTTCATTCATCAAAAGTTCTTGTCGATCGTAAAATGATCACTCATCTGTTGTCTACACTAGTGTGTCATTTGTAGCGTAATCACGGCGAGCCAAAAATCAGCGTCAAAACTAAGAAAACCCCGGAATAAAAACGCACACTCCCCATCGCTGTACAAAAACAGGAGCTTTCGGGCGCCATCTTGTCATGAATAAGTAAGTAGCACAGCGCGATCGACGCTCTGATTGGTGAGATCGAGGTTCACCTCACATGACCTGCGTTCTGATTGGATAAGCGATATAGCCAGCAGCAGGCAGCGCGGGAAGAATTTTTCTTCGTCGATGCAGAAGAGAGACACATTTACGCTGCTTCTACGTTTTTCTACGACTACTTAGCAACATCCTATTAAAGAAATGCATAATTAAAAGAATTTTCGGGAAGATATATATTTCTCTTACGCCGATTTTGGCCTTTTTCTCGTAATATTCCTGTTCAAGGAACCCGAAGTCAGTGTACC